AAAACACTAGGTATATGGACTTTTTTATTTTTTAATTAACCATTATACTCTGAGCATTTTTTTATTACAGCAATATTGTTTAAAAAGAAACAAATTTTCCATGGGATTTGAGTGTATTCCCTGCAAGACTATTTAATATAATATTACATATTTTAAAGTTTAAAACAAGTTCAAGATACGGATATTCGGACAATAGAATATTGATTGAACACAAACAATCGGTCGGGGGATGAACATTTTTTTAGACAATTTCTTATGTTCGAATTTGAAATGAAAAATACAGGTTGACGTTTGAGCAATTTTTAAATTAATTTTATTTCTCGAGAAATAAAATTGCCTTGTACTCGAGTATTTGAGTTGAAAGTATCATCCCCTGTAAAACTCACCTGTCTTTAATCGAAAATCGGACCTTGATGACGACTTGGTTAGGTTAGTTTAGGTTAGGTTAAGTAAATTCGCGATTACCGGATCGCTTGTGTGTACCAACCACTGATACATTATAATATTAACCCACATAAACTTAGCAGTATAAGTGTATAACCCTAACAGACACTAATATGGTCTAAGGAAGACATCCGAAAAATGTGTTAATAATTTGTTTCCATAGTTGGATTATACTCCCAGAATTGTTTGGACTTGATTTTCACCACGCGGGTAGAGCGTTTTTGAGGTTGTGCTGGCTGCCAACAGCCAAGTTTTATGTTGGCAAAATTTTACTTGAACAAAATATGGCAGTGATACAATTATTTGTCTCGCTCAAGATAATAACATTTTATTGAATTCACCTCTCTAGAAAATGTCCATGGATGCATCCGACATTGTCCGACGTGTGAATTTAAGTATCAATGCCCAGTCAGATAATGTTTATAGAAAAAAATAATAGAAAACCGTCATATTATGAATGCACGCTATTGTTTTGAATTAGTTTAACGGTTTTTGGCCCCGATGAGTGAAAGCGAACACGTTTCAAAGCTGACGCAAGACGTTCGCTAAATGTTAACGACCCGACATGCCGAAATCCCCAGTGGCGTATTTGAGAGTTTATTTCGGAGAGGGGGCTTTGTAAAATTGATATTACAAAATATGTGTTTTCTTTTAAAAATTATCATTGATTAAAACAAAATATTTTATCTGTAAAATGCCTTCTTAATAAAATTAATATACTATACCTATTCGTAAATGAGTAGGTAAATAATATTATGTAAAAAAAGCAATTTTTGAACATGGGAACTCAAATTTGCTACTAAGTAGCTTAATATTTAATTAGCATAATATTAAACGCCACTGCATGGTGGTAGCTTTTTTAATATAAGCTATCAATGATGCCCGTACATTTCTAATAAGTATAGTATTTACTTTATTATTTATTATGATGAGAACAGATTGAACTATCTTATAACTAATTCCATACTCTTGCATCAAAATTCTCAAAAATTATTCTGTCTAAGAAGATGAAACGAAAATTGTATTTTGTCATTCAAAAAATAAAAACCATATTTTTTCCTCGTCGTACATATTTACCGTCTAAAAATAATAATATTTCCAAAAACTTTCAAACTTTTTAGGAAAACGAGCGTTTACCTTTGAATCATAACCTCCCTGCAGGTGGTTTAATTACGAATTTACAATCAACTCCGACTATAATGCGTTTGTATATACTTTTCACTATTATTATACAATTTATTTAATTATTTATATTTTATTTATTTGTGTCTGCAATTATTATTATAAACACAAATCGTTACTATACAAACGGGCGACCATATACAGGACTCGATTGGGAGGCCCAGCTATAAATCTTTGCCCAGAAGTATAATTGCGTGGAGTTAGGTACCTATAGCTATGCCTACCTACCTATTATGGGTAGGTCACCAAGTGCCATATTTTCGCGGATAAACGCGGCCGGCAATTCCCCGGAAACGTAACTGCGGAGTTCTGGCTCGGGTTTCGATGACGATATCTGTTTAAAAATTTCTTTCCGTCCGTCCGAGGGGCAAGAAAGGAAAACGACGCGTATGACATGAATACAACGACTATTATAGATATACACACAACACATATTATTATATATTAAATATAAAATCGTTGTAGGTTTACCTACTATAATACTACTGCGCTTACGGAAAAGGACAATTCATTCGAAAGTCGCGGGCATAAACTTACCTACACTCATATATAGGTACCTGACGTCTACATATATATATGTTTGTGTGTTTATGGCGACGTTGAACCAGTTCTGTATATGCACCGCGGACAGAGCTAGGTTTATTTTTTTAATTGGGACATCCGCACACACACATGTCTGTCGCGCGGGCTGACCGACGGAAGAAGACTGTTTCGGCGTCCCCGTATCGATCGCGAGTTACGATACAATATTATAATATTGATAATAATACCATCGTTGTTATTGTTGTCGTTGTCGTTGGTGGTATTCAGCGGTTATAGTGGTTACTGCGGTCGCCACTTCTAACCTGGTCGGCAAAACGCTTCTTAGGTAGCTGACGGCGTAAATCACACATGATCGGACGAAACTACTGGTGTGCTCGCGACTATACCACGGTAATAATAGTAATAATAATAACGCCGTTCCTCTATGCCGTTCCGCGGTACACAATAAACCATGTGGACGTTGAAAAAAAAGACTTCTCCGTCCCCCTTTTATTTCCGGGTGTCTGTATTATTATTATACCGCGGTATCTCGCGGACTGTATACGGTGGAGGCGAGAGAGAGTGTAGAGTTTCCTTCCTTGTAGTAATATTATACAAAGCGACGACAGCTGCCGCAGACGCGTAGAGGCGGATTTCCTCTGCAATTTTTTTTTTATATAAAAGGACATGTACTTATTTCATAAATTTATTATTATTATTTTTTTATCATCGACCCCTCTCGGACCGCGGCCGTCTCTTGGTTTTACGATCTCTTGCCACCACCGCTGTCAGGTACAGATCCGCAGACACCGCAATAATGTTATACGCAGCTGTTGCAACGATATTAAAATCGTCCTATGTCTCCCATCATGCACATTTCCGTACTTGTACCTACCAGCTACTTTACATTGTAATATACCCAGTATCAAAGTGTATAATTTAATATTTTATGGCTTGCCCATGATCGGAGCAACGTATGAATAATATCGCAGTATAGTAAATACTAACATCATCAACAATAAGTTTTCGGTCCTTCACCAACATTTGGAGTGGGTACCTAGTAAATATGCTCCGATTTTTGATACGTTTATTGATAGAAAAGTGAATTTAATTGGTAATTTTGAGAAGTCAAAATGGAAAATTCCCATGCAATTTAGTTCCCACACATTTTTTTCGATTTTTTTCTCCACCAAAATGTGTGGTTTAAAGCACTAAATACAAAAGTCTAATTCCAAAATTCTCGCAAATCATTATTTTGGAAGTTATACTAAAAAAAATTGCCCGAGGAAACATTAATCGTTATGAGGGTGTGAATTTAAAATGTTTACAATAATTAAGACATTATAATATATTAAATTATAACATTATTAAGTATCAGCCTTCATCAGTCATTGTTCGAACAGTTGTATTTATCATTGTAATTCTAAAGAGTAATTAACAAAAATAATCATACCAATGTTATATTAGTTTAGTCCTTTTTCAATTAATGCACAATGCTACAATTGTGTTGAATTGATTAAAACATGATCAAAATAAATAACAAACAATATTATTAAATTGTTTTTTTACACAATAGTGTAAATAACATATTACACACACTACACACGAGTATATATTGCACACACTATATTATTTGACTTCAACCACTATTTGTAACACTGTAAATTGCGTTGTTGTTTTTATAGAACTGATATTTTTTTATTAAATTCTTGAATTATAAAATTGTGACAGTCAACAGTCCTATGGAATATAGAAAATAATAATTGTACAACTCTATCAGATTTATTCTCATTCACAAACCCAAATAAATTATTCCTTATTTTAGGGCGTTTTAATACGGCAATATATATACATTTGTGTATGACAAATAGTAAGTATACCAGGGTATTGTATGTTTCTAAATTTAACATTGTAGAAAACTAAAATTATTCTTAACGTTTTAAATCGCAAGACTTGAGCGTACAACGTTTTAGCTAACGTAGATTATTGTGTACCTACCAATTATGTCTATAATCAACCGTTGTTATACAGCCAATGGCGTCAGTACCTCGGCCACAGTGACCTCCTTTCTTGACGGATCACCGAATAAAAATACTATATAAAATACGTATTTTCAATGGTCCTTTTCAAAAGGTATATTGTTATGGGTAATGGTTCTTGGTATCCACGTTTGAAAGGTCGTGAACACCACACTCATTTGTAATTGTTGCCGATTGAAAAGCACGAGTGTTTATTCTATAACAAAATATAAATAATAATATAACATAGCGATTTATATTATTATTATTGTTAATACCATACCGCTTCTACAATGACAATATGGTCATGTGTACACTGCAGGAAAAAACACCTATCTTAAGTTTGGAGAGTGTGAGTATGAAACATGCTCGTCTGCCAGGTATACGTCATTTACCTAAATATTTTAATGGACATTTTAAACGCAGAAAGTGTCGAACATCTGTCACTCGAACGTGACATATAATAATATTATTCTGTGCATGAAAAATAACGGCACGAGTGATTCAACACCACGACTCACAAAAACGATAAGGCAGTGACTAAAATTATTATTCTGTGCAGTACCTATGACACAATTTGTGAAATGCTTAGGACGTTGTACCCCGTGTGTTGTCTCCATCTTACACAAATAAGACATACCACATTTTTGTCGACTAGTTTCAATTGAAACTGTCGAATTTTATATCATAGTGAATAATTGTATGGCGCTAATATTGTATGGAACGGTGGAAAAAAAGTATTAAGACAAGTGTTGGTTCATCGGTCATTAGGCAACTATATAAATAATAAATTATTCATATTTAACTTTTAACAATAAAGTTATTTTTATTTTTATTCGCAGTCTTAATCATACATATTAAATAGAAAACACTAAAAAGTAAGTAAGTAAATATAAAAATTTTAATTTAAAAAAAAAGTACCAATTATAGTTTATAACTTAGGATAAAATACTATTGTGGACACCCGGCGATCTAGTCCCCTTGCTGTGCCATGCCCCCAACAAATTATTCTCTATTAAGGTACATTACTTATATAATAGATACATAGTGTATAGTACTATAGTGTATACTGTATTTTCTGTTCGTAGGAGGCCCATTAAGATTTCATATTATCAATTCCTATATTTACTCAAGTCACTTTTAAGTTAAATAAAGTCTTAAAATATAAGCTACATTATAATAGTTACGATAAATCGAAACTCATTCGAAAATGTAGTTCTTTAACAATGACGAACACGATGTGTTAATAAGATTTCATTTGGCACCCAAGTTATCCAATTCACTAAACTTCAGCTGTTGAATTTGTGTATTATTCAAAGACAGTTCGAATAATTGTTCAATCTTCTGTTTGATATCAACTCCCATCAAGGAATCCATTCCTAAATCAGCTAAGGTAGATGCAGGCTTAACTGAAAGCGGATCTTGAATCCCTAAATGATAAAAGAAAATATTAGGGATGTCAAAATATGATAACTTTAATAGGAGTTATAATACTGTTATAATACTGCTATAGTGTAAATAACTTCATATTCAAAGTTAAATAATTATGTCTTTACAGTACATAATATATTGTATATTATACAGTATACACTATTAGAAATTGTTGTTAAATGGTAAAAAAATACGGAACAAGGTTCTTTCAAAAAGTAATCTTAAAATTATTTTCGATTAATATACTCAAAGCCTTTTACAAATTACAATAATGCTTAGGTAAATACAATTTAAAGAGAAATATTAATACAAAGTTGGACTGACTTGTAGTTATTTGAATTTTGAGTTCAATAACTCAAATATAAATTAATAAATTATAAAACACATATAAGGACTACAGAATGAAATTGTACTTCTCAAGGTTATCGAGAATGGCAAACCGCCTCAATATTAAATAATTATGGCATAAAAAAAATTATTATGATTATTGTTTACTATCAATCATGGCAATAAAATATTAAAATACTATTAATTTTTAATAATTTGTACAAAAATTTTTTACCCATAATTCCGGAAACGATCTCTGTGAGCGATTGTGATTTCGAATTTTCTGTCAGTTTTCTTTTGGTTGGTATCACATGTGAAGCAACGACTGCTGAACTTTGTGTTAATAATGTATCCAACGCCGCTAGACAAGACGATATTTTTTGGGCCAGAGTTCCATTGATTTCTTTTTCTTCGTTCCCACGAGTTAATAGATAAGCCATTCCGACGTCCCCGATGCCTCCCCATTGGATAGATTGCTGTAAAATAAAAAAAAAATTTATAAAGCCATTGTTTCTACAACACCTATTGGAAACCAATGTCTGATGTGAACAATGTATGTGATACAATGGAACGTGGAGTAAAAACGATTTATTCTTACCGCCGGCAAACCTCGTTTTTGTCTTTGCTCTGAAATCCTCTCCATGATAGAGTTTGCATAACCGTAATTGGTTTGCCCTCTGTTGCCCCGGCCACACGAAATGGACGAAAATGTGACGAAATATTCCAAATCTTTGCTAGCGCCTTCCGATGCTTCGTCTAAATATTTAGTAGTTAAGACTTTACTGTTGTACACAGTCTGGAAGTTGGCAACTGTTTGGTTTTCAAATATTCCGTCTCTCAAAACCTAAATTGATAAATAATGTTCGAAACACTGTAGTGACGTATCGAAAGTAAACTTAAAATGCAATAAAAAAAGTACCCCGGCTAAGTTGAAAATTCCACCAAGTGGTCCTAAGCTGAGGGCTAATGCTACAGTATTCTTAGCTCCCGACAATGTAGTCAGGTCGAATGTGCTGATTTCCACTTTGATATTTTGGTTTTTCCAAATATTCACTCTATATTTCTGGTATCCAGTTTGAATTCCACTCCGAGAGCAGAGAATAATATTTCTCGCCCCCCGTTCGACAGCCCATTCAGTAAGTTCCATTCCGAATCCACCAAGACCACCTAAACTCAATCACGATTAAATTTACAATCAAATAACATTTAGAATAAATGTACCTGAAAGTATGTAACTTTTGCTGGGATCAAAGTACACCCGTCGGTATGCTGCAAAGTTCAATCTCGGAGACTCCCCGGTCACTTCAACGATTATCTTGTTTCCAGTCTTATTATTTGCGTATGATCTACATGAACGAAAAATGTAATTTAATATAAAATAAATACATGAAATATTATTATAATTTACCTGAAAGCAGACTCGACATCAGAATATTGGTATATAGTGAACGGCAGAGGTTTTATGACATCAAGTTTTATTCTCGATTCAATGAATGAATAAATACTGTCAACACACGAATTATTCAAAATAGGAATATCGTCAAATTTGGCTGATACAACTCCAAATCCACTTGGAGAATCTAAAATCAATATAATTATTAAGTTCTTATAATATTTGTTCCGTGATAAATTGGTTCTACAAGAAAAATAAATAAGCCCAGGTTTATTAATTTGTTTAGCATCCAGTATTTTACATTACGTAGTTCATACATTTACATACCTGTCTATAAGTGACTTTTTAAATGTTTTTTTCACATTTTAACGACTTTGAAACAAATTACTAAACATTTTCTAATAAGTACTAATCAATATATAGAAAGATAAATAAAGAATACGGAGCTAGTACTTGTAGCGCTTTATAAGAAATTGTTAACTTTATTAATTAACCTATTTTAACTATATTTTGCTATATATTTTACTTTTTAAAACGGTGATTCATAGCTAGTGCGTGTGTGTTAAAAATTAAAAAAAATATTTTAAAATTTACTTGATAAAACTGAAACATCTGTATTTTCGGTGATGATAATTTTCGCTTCATCGGCAAGCAGTTCTGGCAGACGACTGGAACAATATTTGGATAGAATAGCATAATCAACTCCTTGATTTAGAGTTAACTTTGATACCGTGTGAATGAATTTTGAATCAAACTTTGTAGTTGAAACCTGACTCACCTTAATTTAATATAAACTTAATATTAAGTACCCAGTAATACATTTCATTCTAAAAAAAAACCTTTTATTACTCACTTCTGGGTAGTTGGCTTTAATAACTTCAAGTTGTTCATTAGTTTCAGCTACGACAAACACTTTGCACTTGAGAGATAATGCAATTGAAATAGCTGCATAGTTTACACTATTTTCACTAATAAATACCAAAACATTTTTGGATTCCGATAAATTTCCTTTGTGTATTAAAGCGTAGGTGGCCTAATACATATTGATAATGTATTTATTTAAACTCAAATAATATGATTTTATTATCTAAAACACCTTACCACATAGTAAGAGTATGGGACAGTGGCGGCTTCTCTCAGAGTCCAGTTTGATGGTACATTCCATACAATAGCATTTTTCTGATTGACTGTCGTTGATAAAGCACCAGTCTTGACCAACCCCATTATCTTTTGACCATTTGACTTGATACCGGAAAATTCTACTCCAAAGTCAGTTTTCTAAAAAAAAATATCTGTTGAATAAAACGTACACAAATATAATTAAATATTAAATCATTCACCATGGAAGAAACCGATGCTAAATCGACATTGTTAACACCAGCATATGATATTTTTATGGAATCACTGCCGTCATAACTGTTGGAATATCTAAAAACAAGACACAATTAAAAATAATTAAAATTTATTCCGTTTAAAGTGTAATATAAGTTTCTACTTTGAAGATTGGACCCATTGAAGTGTTGTCAGATCACCTTTGGAAAGCACCGATACTTTAGCATCAGCAGTTTGAATATTTGTAGCAAGTTTTACATCAATTGGTAAATGTCTATAGGATCCCCAAATTCCAGATCTTTCCACGTTGAAGAACAAATCGATATCAAGCAGGGGGGCAAAATCTTTCAAAGTATAGTTTTTGCCAGACTCTGTCAGAATACATCTAATCGAAATATATATTTTATTATTTATCATAGTTAACAATTAACTTGGTTTTAAAATAAATTTACTACCTAATGGGATTTTCTTCACCACTAAATTCTTCGACTAAACATTTAGACAGACCGAGAACACCATTGATATTTTTATCACTATAAACTACAACTTTTTTGTTTGTATTTTCTTTAATATCAGCTAGTTGCTTTTGCAAAGATTCCACCCATGAAAACTGTTCATCCTCGATATTCAAAATTGTGTACTCGTATTTAGGAGAAAGCTGAAATAGTATTAAATTGAATAAATTCATTGAAGCATTTTATAACTATATTATGTTACTTTTTTCAGGAGGAAGTACTTCTTATTTTCGTTTTCAATAACAGTCACTGTTTGGAGATTATATGATTTCAGTGTTGACGAGGCAATAGCAGATATGTTTTCAACCAAAAGAACAAATCCTCTTGGAGCTAAAGCCGCAGAAATTTTACCCAATAAAGTAGCATCAAACTGAACATCGTGGGCAACTATCAAGTGGTATCCATCAGGTAACGATTCATTTTGGATATTAAAGTCAACAATCTCAATATCTAATGACGATAGTTTGCTTTGTTCGATGTCAACTGGTTTGTTCGAAAGAACGGTATAGTCCACCTAAATTATCGTCAAGGTCAATTTATATAGCTTAAAAACGTTCTTATTGTTGTAATTGCTTACATAAAAATTGGCTTCTGCTTCAATTATCTGAACAATGTCAAATGCCAATACGCTCTTGTTGTGTACTTCTGCTGCTTTAACGTAGTGTACTCCTATGTTTTCCATGAATAAACCAATCAAAGAGTAAAGAACTTCTTTCGTAGTTAAATCGTTCGACTAATAAAACACAACATAACACTTTGGTGTTTACTTATAATTATTGAATTGAGTAAACACTTACTGTATCCGTGTACGGAATAAATGTGTGACGTTCCAGAGTGGCTGGAAGTTGTGCATTCTTTTTTAAAGGAGCAGGCGTCACTTTCAAATTTGAAATAGTGACCCCACCCGATTGCGTTGTTTTAGCATAACCAAAATAGTTAACTTCAATGTCTAAGCACAAGTGAAATAAAATAATTATAAAATTACTTTATCCTACGTTAAGCTTTTATGAACTACCTTTAGTGTCTGTCGATCCCTTAGCTACTTGTTTATGGTACACGGGGTCAATTATAACTTCTTTAATGTAAGTTGGTAAACGTAGTTCCCTGGTTTTGATAGATATAAGTTCAAATTGTAAAAGGGTATCGATATACGATACCCAATTTCCGGTCCACGCAACTTTACCTTTTGAACCTAAAAAAAATCTTAATAATAAATTGTTAAAATATTATTAAATGGATTTACCTTCACTGTTTGCTTCTATAAAACCTAAAAATTCATCTTTATACTGATATCCACGAAGTCTCAACTCCTTGTAAAAATCGTCAGCTTTCAAATCCATTTGTTCCGAAATGGGTGTAAGATGTTCCAATTGATTTTCTGCATACTGTTTGGTTAATAGTTTTACACAACCAGAAACTGTTATGGTCCCTCCTTCTAATAGCTCAAACTCGCCAGATCCATGAAAAATGTTTATGTTGAACTTAACTGTGCCTTAATATATATAATATAATATGTAATATTAATTAAAGTATATAGCAATCATTTAATGAAAATATATTGATTCATCATTATGATTTTTACCCTCAGTATTTAGGACGGTAGGCTTAAGAAATTTTATATTTCGGAAAGTTACTGGAACATCTTCAAACCATTTTCCTTGCAACTTTGCGAAAGCTTTCCATACTAATGTCTACAATTATTGAACGATTAATACATTAATAAATACAATGAATACCAAAGGGCACTTAGGTACTTATATAAGTTATAACTCATAAGTAATCACAAGTGGATCTTATCTAAAACATACTTTGAAAATATACTACTACCATTAGTAGCTATTAGCCGGGCTCTTATAATTTAAACTTAGAAATAACCATGAACCTTTTCTTATGTATACGTTTTCAGAAAATATGATATTCCAAGTAAATAGATTTTATATTTGAGCAGAACTGAAAGATATATGTGTGCTTCGATTTTCTAAACGCACAATATGGAATTAAAGCAATCAATAAAATAATAATGTTTAAATCGTTTAAATTCATTATTTTGTGTCTTTCAAATATTTTTAGCAAAATGTTCTCTTTAGAAATACATAAAATTATTATTTTTTAAAAGGTTTCATGAATGTAATGTTTTACATCTAATGTTAAAAAACAATTTAAAAATTATATGGATTAATAGCTTATACTATTTTATTCATACAATATATCCTGCTGCTGGATATAATACACGTCCATCAACAGTATGACCGATTAAATATTTATCTTGATCAATTTTTATATCAATTTCGACTTCATTATCATCTGATCCAGAACTCTAAAAATATATATTAACTAAGTTTAAAATCTAATTAAATACTTAATAACTAAATACTAATCTAATCAATTTTTATTTCCATGCAATTAATTGAATTGAAAGACAGGTATAATATATTAACTAATACAACTGTTTGATCATACTTTTTCTACAAAATTGGGCACTATATAGTCGTTTGAATGATCCCAC